GGCACAATGGGCCCCCGCCCACAGGGTCTGAAGCTTCACCGTTTCCATGCCAATCACGTGTGCTGGGTTTGGGGGCAGATGACATAAAAGCTGAGTTCTTTGGGGGTGATGAGAACAGACAGTGGGGACTGATGAGGAATGGGAGCCAAGTGCGGGAGTGTGTGGGCAGGGACAGGGCTAGGAGGCACCGCCAGTGGACAAGGGAAGAGTAGGCATGGCCACACTGCTCCATGGCTTGGGGAGAGGTGAGCCCGTCCAGTGAGCAGCGGAGCCGGCGATCAGCAGGCACTCACACACCCCAAAAGGAGCCTGAAAGGACTCTCAGCATTGAGGTTTGGACACCCACCCTGGAATTACATCTGGGGACTCAGCTGCTGGATAGGGAGCATCCTGGCATTTCTGTAGGCCACCAGAGAAATCCCTGCCACCCTAACCATCCTCCCCGGACGCTGGCGGTATGAAAGGTGACAGTCCAGACCTTATGAGGCATTTCTGGCTCACATGCTAGAAAGCAACATGGAGGACGTCACTTACTGAGATGCGACCATGCAGAAGGGACCATACTCATCTCTTGTCCTCTTCTGTCTTGTTTATTCCCAGTCTCCAGCTGACATGAATTATTTTAAGATGTCTGTAATGTCACACAGGTACTACTCAAATGTGCACGTGCATGCGCGGACACACACACACACTCACACACACTTTGGGGGAGCTTAGTCCTGAGATAGAGTCTGGGGAGGGGTTTCTGAGTAGGAAATGGGGTCCCTGCTCTTGCTTGAGAAACAAGCGCCTCTCTGTTTCAGTCTGCCACATAGACACACGGCCGCACACATGAGAGAAGAAAGAGAGAGCTTGCAAAGTAGTGTAAGGCCATGTGTGACCAAGGGAGCTGCGGGATAACCAGGGAAGTCTTATTGGAAGAGGAGGAAGTCTTATTGAAGAGGATGAGGGTTTGCATGGCCAGTGAGCAGTGACAGAGAACTTTCCAGGTCCTTTTATTTCTCAGACAGTCCTGGGTCAGCCGCACTAGGGCCCGCTGTGAAGCAGAGGGCTCAGGTATCGGAGAAGGCAGGTGGCAGAGGGCCCTAAGTGATCCTGCAGGTGTGAGAGCTGTCCCGAATAAAGCAGGGGTGAGTTCACTAGTGGACGTCCCCAGGGCTCTTGCACTGGCTTAGGCAATGAGGGATGGAAGGGCTCAGCTCCTGCCCCCAAAGTGCCACGCCAGCTCTCAGGTCAGTAGAATAGTTGAAGCAGAGGGGAAGCTGGGTGAAGACGGTCCTTACCTGGCCTGGTGGCAGGACATGTCTGAGCACCCCTCAGTGGCCCCCTCCTCTGCAGGCTGGCCTTGTTCTGATGGGGTGCTCATTCCAGCCTTGGGGAGCTCCTTGCCAGGTGGGGAAGAGGAAACACACAGACAGGAAAACGGCCCTCACACAGGAAGGAGCCCAGGTTGCACCAGGAAGATAAGGAAAGTTGTGCCTGGGACTGGGGGTTAATCTGGGCCATCTTCCCGGATAGGGGAGGGATGGCCCTGTACCCTGACCCATAGGGGGCTCAGAGACCTTCGGACACCTGTGGACACCTGTGGGAGGTAGAAGTGGCAGCTGGGAACCAAGAAGGGAAGGAGGGGATATAGGGAGAGGAGGGAGAGTCAAGAAAGAGCCAAGCTGGCCTGTCTGTCAATCTGTCTGCCTGCTCACTGGCCACAGGCCTCTCTCTCCACAAGGAGCCACGTTGGACAGACAGGTGAAGCCTTTGGACGAGCTCAATCATCGTATTTATTCTAATTGTATCGTAATCGTCCCCAAGGAGCCTGGTTCAAATGAGCTTGACATTATTAAAATTTTAATGCCCAGTTTTCATAGCTGAATGAATATTTAAAGGGTATGTCCCAGCTTAAGTTATGATGATGAAGAAATTAATGGAATGTCTTGTTTAATGCATGGATATGTGTTGATGCAAATAGTGGCAGAGATGGGGAGGGGGATGGGAGGCGGAAACAGGCAGAAGGAGCCACCCGCCCGCTCTCTGCTGCAGTAGGGACACGGAGGACCCCCAAACCTGGGCCAGGATCACTTGCTCCCCATGACAGGACCCCGAGCCGGAAGCAGAAACACAGTCAAAAGAGTCAGCGATGTCCCCAAAAACTGACCTCAGAAGCCTTCAGGGTTCATTCAGGGAGCTGTTCCTGCCCCCGGGGAAGCCCTGGGTTGCCAAAGCCCCCTCCCCCCAACAGGTACCCGGAGGCACAACCCAGGATGAAGGCCACAGAGGGACACAGGGACATGGATGACACCTCAGCAAGAGAATGAGCAAGGAGGGCACCTGCACCCAGGACCCACTAGCCCCCAGCCCCGGGCCCTGTGGAAAGATAATATAGTGACAGAGGGATGGCCGGACAGAGGAGGCACAGACAGAGGAGAGGAATGGCACCAAGAAGCGAGCTCTAGTGTCCTTGAAGCATGGTGTTCTCCTGTAAGGGATCACCTGAGGCCGTGTGGCCGGCAGCTCCTGAGGCTGTGGCCAGGGTCCAAGGGTACAAAGTTAGAAGAAGAACAAGATGACAATCCCCCTCCTACCGTCCTACCCATCATCCTCTCTTGCTGTCCCCTTCCTCACTGGCCATCTCTGCGGCCAGCCTCGCTCTGTTCACTATCCCCCAACTCAGGGCAGAACCAAGGGTGGATGGGGCTGGAGTCTGGAACAGGGAAGAGAGACACTGGCCAAGGGAGGAGATCTCCCTTGAGGCCTGAGGCATCTGTGCGGAGCCCGCTCCAGCTGAGAAATCTTCCCAACTGAGCCTGACACTTTATTTCTGCTGAGAATTAAGAAAGCACCGGGCCGTATTTTATCTCTCCATCAAGGCTGGCACCTCTTCGACAGCCTCGCAAAGGCTGTCTGGATGCTGACCATCCCTAGATCATAATGAAACATGAAAAATCACCCCGGGAGCCACAGGTCCATGGGAACAGTTCACTTCCGCTCCACCAGTCTGCACGGAGCACCCTGTGGGTGCCCAGCCTGTGGCTGAGGGCAGGTGGGAAACTGAATGAGAGCCTGGATCCTTGCAGCCAGGAAGCCCACTGTCAGATTGGAGCCCAGCACCGAGTCATGGAGGAGGTAGGGAGGGCTGGGGTGGGGCTGGGGGTCCGGAGGGGCTGGAAATCAGGCCTAAGTGCATGAGCCTGGGGCAGAGTATTCTCAAATGCCCACATATACCAAGGACAGGGGGACAGGCTGGCTGCCTGAGGGTGGGGTGCCCCTGAGGTGGCACAAGCAGATTCCATTTGCCTTGTTTAATTTACCTTGTTTAATTTAAGAGCATTCCAGGAAGGAAGGACAGTCTAGAAAAGGGTTGGATCCTGAATCCCAAAAGGCACCGGATGGGAAACCAGGAGAGCCCTGCCCCCTTCTTGGAGCCCTTCCCCAATAGCCAGATGCCTCCAGGGGTTTCTGCACCCTTTGCTCAAGAGCTGCAAGGGAGGCTGTTTATGGGGGGCCCAGAACCCCCTAAACGAAGCCAGGAACTTCACTATGTCTCTCTTCCTTCTCCCTGTGACTAGAGCTTTCTGTAACACCACAATTTCCTCTGCTGGCAGGGCTGACATACTGAACACCGTTTTTCCTCTCGACTCCAGGAGGCATGCCAAGTGGGGACCTGGTGGCAAACGATGATACCCTGACTCCCCTCTAAGTGGACTGGCCCCCAGAGTCCTGTCTGGCCCCCCGCAGGCCACCTGTGTCTCATTTCCTCTGCTCCGTGCCCTGCCTCCTGCCTCTCTGTCCTTCCTCGTGGTGGCTCTGCCCTTCCGCTGGCCTTGTCTTCACCTTGCTGAGTCACAGGCACCCACGCTCCCCCACCCACTTGTCTTGACGCAGCCACAACTCACTTCGAATCCTAGACCATAAGGCTCGAGGAAGCGTGTGACTGGCTAGTCCAGCCTCTGCACACACACGACGGGAACTGACAACACAAAGTCACCTGGTGCAGGACAGAAGCCTAGAGACAGACCTGGCAGACTCGGGTTCCTGGGCTCATCCTGCCATGGGGGTGGCCCCGCCTCAGCTTCTCCATCTATGAAATGGGGATGTTAGTCCCTGCCCTGTCTGCCTGTTGGCGTTTGTTTGTGCGAGAAATGAAAATGCAGTAAAGGATAAGGGAGGTACTTGACAGGCGAAAGCACTGGAAAAGACATAAAGTAGGATTCCATTTGCGTGATTCCTTCCATTTTTATTGTCTGAAATATCTTGGGGCCTCTGGGCTGGAGAGCCCACCCCCTGGCCGCCAGCAGCGGGGAGGATTATAGACCGGCGCAGAACCATAGCCGGATGCTTGGAGTTCAGAGACCCCTAGTGGCCTGAATGAAGCACTGAAGTGGATCCCCGTGAGAGAGCCGGGCTCAGGGAGGCTTGGGGGGGGGGGGGGGGGGGAGGCGTGTCCTGGTGTCTTCCTGACCCCTAGGTACCACGGGAGATGGGTGGCTGTGCCCGCACCACATAAACCCCAAGGGGCAGCCCTAGCTGCAGTCAGGAGCCACAGACTTGAGTTCAGCTCCAGCTGGAAGCTGGATGGCCCAGAGCCTCAGGGACCCCTGGCACACAAAGCCCACATCCGTGAGAGGCTTGGGGTGGCTGCAGAGCGGTTCTTTTCGGCAAAGCCAGCTGTCTCCAGCAAAATCATACCCTCTGGCCAGAGATGCGCTGTGATGGTCACAGGTTAGCAAGTGCTGTTCAAAGCTGGGATGGGGACATCACAGAGTCTCCAGTCCAGAGAAACCTTCCTAAGACAATGGGCCTTGGGGACTGCGTAGGGAAGGGGAGACGGCTGGGGCTTTGCTGCCTCTGTGCGGCTGCACGGGGGAGCAGTGGTGTGGGTGGATGTGTCGGTGGATGTGGTCCGTGCACCTATGTACCTGCGAACACCAGTGTACCTTTGGGTGTGGGTGTCTGTCCCTCACCCCCAGGCCTGCTCTGACACTGTCCCCTGTGCTCTGTTGCAGATGAACCGGCCGATCCAAGTGAAGCCAGCGGACAGCGAGAGCCGAGGAGGTAGTAGCTGCCTGCGCCAGCCCCCTTCACGTGAGGGCTCACTTGTCTCTGCCCCCCTCCCCCGACCCGACCCTTCCTCCCTCTCCCTGATGCAGCGACTCCCTGCCACCGCCGCAAGGGCCCTAGGGACCTCCTGGCTGGGAGTTGGGGCAGGGCTTTGCAGCTCTGGGTGACTGGTGTGGGGAAAGTGGAGGGAAGTGGGGAGGTGATCGGGGTCTGCAAGATGGGGTTCCTTCCTGTAAGTAAATGAGGAGCATGTCCTGGGGCACTCTTCTGCCTCCTTTAGGAAATCCAAAGGGGGTGCCCACCTCCATGTCACCCAGGAAAGCCCCCTATGATGGAGCCTGAACTGTTGAAAGGGTGCCAGGCTGGGAGAGAGGAAGTGGATTGCAGCCCTGCCCTGGGAAGGCTCAGACCAGACTGGGCACATCTGAGAAGGGCTGTCATGGGGGCTTGGGGCCACGGAGGTCAAGATTCTGGAGACAGAGCCAGGCAGACAGGGAGATGTCTGGAAAGGGACACAGCCACACCCCACGAGCACAGAGCCCCATTCCCCAGAGAGGCTCTGTCCCCTCCACCACACAGATTCTCCACCAGGCCACACTCTGGCTCCCTCTCCAAGCACCTTCCCCCTGGGTTCTGTGCCTGGACGGTCACGCTCTTCTCAGCTTAGATAGGCTCTGAGGAATTCTTCTCTCCCCTTGACCTCCCTCCCTACAAAAAGTGTTCAGGAAATTCAGAGCAGAAAGGAAAATAGGCAAAAGCTACTTGAAAATTCAGAGTCAAGATCCTCATCCTGAGAGAACTGCGGTGTGGCCACAGGTGGCCAGTCTGCCCCTGCGACCTGTGGTCCTTCCGGCTCAGGCTGCTGCCCTCTGGGCCCTCACAGGACCCTGACCTGGGCACACGGCCTTTATGTCTAGGACCCTCCTGACTTGGGTCTCAAATCCCACCCCCCACCCCTACCCTCACCCAGAGTCCAGCTGGTGTCTTGGTGCTGCCCCAAGGAACCCCACGGCGCAGGGCACTGACATACCTCCCTGTGATCTTCTGAGAACTCCGAGAGTGGGGGTGGGTCAGCTGAGGTAAAGATGGCTCAGGTGTGAAGGGCCCAGGTAAGCAGAGCCCACCTGGTTCATGCTGTGGGCTCCTGCCCCTTTCCTGGCAGTCCAATTACTTTGGTCTTCTATACGCATGGAGGCTCCTCAAATACCCAGTCCTAGGCATCCTCACCCTGGTGGTAAGGGTACCATCCTGCCTCACACAGGACGTCTCCTTGGTGGTGCAGGGCGGCGGCAGGCCCCAGGCCCCAGGCCCCGGGTCACCCCGTCATGCAGTGACTCACGTGTGCACCCTGTTCAGGCAGCAGGGCAGGACGCAGTGAAGAGCTCCTATCCCTGCTGGGGAGAAAGCTCTGGTGCACAGGAAGGTAGCTCGGACGGTAAGCGGCACCTGCAGTCGCAGAGCAGGGGCTCCGGACGTAAGTGGGGGATGCCAGAGACCTTGGGCAGATGGCGCCTGAGCTGGCCTTGAAGGAGGGGAGTTTCTACCCCTGGAGAAGAAGTCGGTGGCATGAACAAGGCCTCACAGAGGCAGGCCCCTGAGGGGGCGTAGGGGGCCCCTCAAGGGCAGAGCAGACAGCTCAGAGTCCGGCCGGTTTTCTCCAGAACCAGAGTGTGGTGTCAGAAAATGCCGTGCCCGGTGAGGCCGCGCTGAGCTCAAATGCAAACCTTTTCTCCTTCACTTGCCTTGAAGGCAATAGCTCTCTGACTCCAACTTGCTAACCTCATCTCCTTTCTGCCATATATCTCCTGCCGCTGCCACTTGCCCCGAACCAGATTAATCAGCTCTTTTATTCTTCCTGTGGTGGAAAGGGGGGAAAAAGAGCCAAACCTAAACATCTATCTATTAATTGCATATTCAATATTAAACAGTGAGATGATCCTGAGTCAGCACTATCACCAAGCTATTTAACAAAAAAAAAAAAAAAAGAGTCAGTTTAAAATAATTTAATATCCAATTAAATACTCCTTCTGGTAGGAAGAGGATGGGGAAGAGGTGAACGTTAAAAAAGATGAAAGAAATGGGAACAGAGAAGGGTGTGGAAGGCGGCTGAGGGAAGAACAGGGTCTCAGGTGAGAGAGGCAGAGCCAGGCTGTGTAAAGAACTCCTGGACCAACCCATGGCACAGGAGAGGCAACGGCTGGAGAGGGTCAAAGGAGAGAGCTCACTGTGGCCTGGAGTAGGCAGGGAGGGCTTCCTGGAGGGAACTTGATCAAGAGGCATAGACCTGGTGGGAAAAAGTGAGAGCATAAAGTGAAAGTGGGGCCCTGAACACAAGACCAAGGGATTGAACGTGTCTCCATGAGAAGCAGGGAACACTGATCCCAGTGGGGGCACCAGGAAGACAGAGGGCATCACAGCTCTAAGTCCCTGTGCAGGGAGACAGGCGTTGGCCCCACTGCCACCACCAAGAGCCAGACCTCCAGTTAGGCAGGGAAGGAACACCCCAAGAGAGAGAGCCTCCCCAGCCAGGAGCCATTTCTCTGTAAGGAGGTTCCAACGAACCCCACAGAGCTCTCTGGGGCAAGTTAAATTTAAATTGAGTCACCCTCAGATCAGCACACCAATTCATGAACTGGAGGAATGAGGCAGACTGGGGACAGAGAGGAACTTGGGGAAGCCCCCACCCTGCCCTGGCCAACCTGCCCTGGCCATCTTAGAGGCAGTGGCCCTCCCTGGGGCATGCACTTGTGTTCCTTTGCCTCCCACCAGGTGTATCCTGCCCAATGAGCGGGTTCATGGTCAGCATCTGAATTGGATCTCATGGCTGCAGGGGCCCTTCAGCCTCTGGGTTTCACTCTCAGTATCTGGATGAGCATCCATGGTGTGCTGCCCTGCAGCCCTAACACCCCCCCTCTCCCCCTCCCCGTTCTCGCTGGTCCCAGCCCAGGAGCACTAAGGCCAGCAGACAGGACAGCCCCCTGCCCCCTGCCCCTGTCCCAGCCTCCTGCAGCCAGGTATGGGTGCCCCTTTAAGTTAGTCAGGCTCTGAGCACCTGGGCCTTGGTCAGCAAACCTTCTTGGGGGCCCCCTGGGCTGCACTGGTGGAGGCTGGGACTGGGGAGTGTGCCCACCTCCCTCAAGGGGCCCAAGAGGGAAGCTCTGAAGAGGGAAAAAGTGGCTGAGGTCCAGATTAGGTGTAGGAGACACTGGCCTGATCCCACCCCACCCACCACTGCCAGACACACACCTTCACCAGAAGCCACCCGTACCTCTTCTCAGTACCCATCGACAGATGAGAAGTTTCAGTGACCGAGGGCTGTATTTGTGCTCTGTTTGAAGGAACCCCAGAAGGTGGTCACACGTGCTGCACCCCTGACATGCCATATACCTGCACTGACAAAGGCACCCACAGACCCACACACGTGGAAAATAAATGCCCCTACCGGGAATAGAGTGGCTGGGGGTGAAGCAAAGACTGGGGACACTCGATTTTCTCTCATCAACATGAAATGATAGAAAAAAATCTGACAACATGGGGGACTGATGAGCTGGGGAAGTTAGGAATCAAGATGGCTTGGGAGGAAGTCCCGGGAAAGAAGGAATTTGAGTTGCCAAGGGGCTGCCCACCCCTCGGGAGGGGGCAGATGTGGCCCTGGGGAGTCCCTCCAGAAGGAAAAGTGAGCAGGGCTGAAAACCGTGTTCTTGGGTCTGCCATCTGGTCCCTCACCCCTCTGCAGGGCCTGGAACTGGAGACCACACACACACACACACACACACACGCGTGCGCACGCACACACACACACATACACACACACACACACTCCAGCGGACTCAGACTTTGGCTGGGACATGTGACGCCCCAGCTGGGGGAGAGGTCCCAGCCCACGATGGGGTCTGCTGAGGGCCCCCCAAGTCCCCTCGCTGTGCAGGAAGGCCTGAGGAGGTGCAGGGAAGAGGGGCCACGGGGCAGCTGTGGTTGAGTACAAGCAGGGAGCCTGACGAGGGAGGCCCGGATGATGGTGGAGGGTGGATTCCCTGTGACAAAGCCCTATTGTTCCCTCACTGGCTGCAGGGCCTGGGGGAGGCTCGCAGTGATGGAGGGGAGTGGCCCTGAGCTCCAGCCATGAAGGGGGCCCTGGAGGGGTAGTTGCAGTAAGCTACCATCTAGGGACCCGCCCCAAGGAAGCTTTTAGAGGGTGAAGCAGCTTCTTTAATGTACCCCCCACCCTTCGCAAGTCCTTCAGAATCTCCTGGGTTGAAGGAGCCCACGGTAGGTTCCCTGCCTTCCTTTTGCTTTTCCAGAACTGGGAGCCCACACACTCATGCTTCCCTCCCCAGCCCCCTCTCTCCCTCCTGTCTCAGTCTGGGGGGTGGGGCGGGGAATGGGGTTGGGGGGAAGCTGGGCAGGACCAGGAAGGCACAGGAAGGCTGGGGGGCAGTTGTGACAGCCTGGGAGCCATTGGGTGCGCACTCGGTCCCCGAGGCAGGTGCGGGCCAGTCAGTCAGCCACGTCCTGCAGCCCGTCGCTGCTCTCCCGTTCATTTAAAACAGCATCTTTGGGGCCGCCATACCCACCTCACTGTGGCCGTGGCCGGCACTCACGTGGCGGTGGAGTCCCGCTGGGCTGGCTAATGAGGTTGGACACAGTGCATGTGAATGCGGCTCTGAGGCCTTCCCCGAGGCCACGTTCCCCACCAGAAAACCACGGCCGATTCAGTCCCCCCAGCCCTTCCACCATCTGTAGGCCCATCAGTTCCTGCGGCTTTTTAAATCCTATTAAGTTCCTCATTTCTCCTCCGAGCATTATCTCATTTCTAAACAGACACAGACAACGTGCTAAGGGAGGCCAGGGAGCCCAGCCGAGGGGCGTGGGCCGCTCCCTGCTGCTGCCACGTCCCGGGGCCCCAGGAGACCCATGGCCACACTGGTGACCTCCCCAGGCTGGGTGCCTCCCTTCCAGATTTTTCTAGCTATTGAATCTCATACTCTAGGTAGGCAATTTTGAGAGCGTTTAGAGGGAATAGA